GAGAATTTTAATTAATTTAGGGACTGCTTTGTATTTTGATATCAAAAATGAAAACTAAAAAGAAAGATAAAATATATTAGGCAGACAGAAATAAACACAAAAAGAAGTCATTTTCTTAGGTGGGTTTCATGATATAATTTACCTTCAAACTATAAGAGTTGTGACAAAATAGGGTCTATATTATCGATTTGAGTTATTTATACATCAAATTATTAATTTTTAAATAAATTTAACATTTTTCGTTATATCTAAAGGGTAAAAATATTAAATGTTAACTAAAATGCTTCAATCATCGTCATTTTAAGAATTTTATTTTTTTAAAATTAAAATTAATTTTGAAAAATATATATTTAATAATTCTTTTTTATTTTTTCTAGTTAGATCCATTAGACATCATTAATTATCCGACAGACAAAAATTAAATCCATAATAATAAAATCATCTAAGCTTTCTTAAAGCTAATTATTATTAATTTTTTAAAAAATTAATTTTAATTTTAAAAAACTAAAATATTTAAAGCAAAGTCGTTCTTTTTAAGCATTTCATTTCTTTTCTTTTTTGAGAATTAAAATTAATTTTCTAAAAAGATATTTAATAATTTAGTTTTTTTTTTTTGTACATATATTATATAAATCCATCACACATCATTAATTATTCAACAAAAAAAATCAGATTCATAAATAACAAAATCATCTAAGCTTTTTTAACAGCAATTATTATTAAATATATTATACCTTTGAAGGTAAATTATGCCTTTTAAACTTCTTAGGTGCGAGCCCATAAGTCCAATGTGCTACTGGCATTGTTTCAAACAATGCTATGTTTTTTAACAATATATACATGTAATTAATTAATTTACATATTTATGTAAATATATTAATTATTCAACCTGATGCCCGTTTTTCTTTCCAAGAGGAAAGGTTTGGAAAGGGTGGCCGTTATTATTTTGATTATTATGGTTTGTAGATGTTCCTCTTTTCAGACAAGTCAAGGAAGCCACTTAATTTTTCAAACTCTCATGATACGCCTACTTTCTTTACTATTAGTTTTGTACAAAATAACCCTTTAGAAGATAATTTAAAATCTTGATTTGATATAATTTTTAGAGATAATTATCAGAAAAATCATTTAAAAAAATCTTATATCCAAGTAACCCATCAATTTATTTTTAAATCTCTCAAACCCAAAATAATATTTTTCTTATCAAAACATCTAATAGCTCCAATTTAACATTAGTTAACTATTAAGTCTTTTGGTAAGATAATTTTTTTATTTTTAGGTTTGAGAGATTTAAAAAATAAATTGATGAATTTTTTAAATAGAAAATTTTTAAACACTAACATTCTACTGTTTTTTTTTTTTTTTTTACTATACTAAAAAATTCCTTATATTAAAGTTTTTTTTTCTATCAACCGTTTGTTTCATTAATTACGAGATTAATTTTATTATCTAGTAACTATAGCAATCGATGCAGTTTAATTATTTAATATTAATGAAATGAGATTCTTGTTATTCTCTTGTAATTTAATCAAAAATTTATCATACAAATAAGAAAAATAAGAATATGTATGATTATGAACATTAATGATTTCTTAAATCCTAATATATTGATAGAAAAAAAAGTATCATCGGTAATACTATTTTTAATTAATCAAAACTCAATATTTTTTTATCAAACAATTAAATTAAATTACAAGATAAATGTATAACATAGTTTGGTGCATTAATTAAATAAAACATGATCATCCATAATAGAAATACATATCTTCAAAGATAATAGTTTCATTTAAACTAGGGATAATTACCAAAATACCTTCTAAAAAATCTTCTATCTAAAAAATTCACCATTTTATTTTTAAATATCCCAAACATAAAATAATATTTTTAAATCTCTTAAGCTTAAAATAATATTTTTCTTATCAAAACAACCAATAATTAACACTAACACTAGTGTTAGTGTTAATTATTGGTTGTTTTGGTAAGAAAAATATTATTTTAAGCTTAAGAGATTTAAAAATAAATTTGTGGGTTTTTTAGATATAAGATTTTTTTATAAGGTTTTTCTGATAATTATCTCTAATTTTTATAAGTAATAATAATAATAAATATAATATAAAATAAATATTCATCCTATTTAATTATTTAATAAATATTTATTAAAAATATCTAATGTACATTGAAATTAATAAAGATAAAAAGATAAAAAAAAAAAAATGCATGCATGCTATTATAGCTTCTAGATATAAACAATTATTTTTTACTATATTATTACCCTTTAGTTTTTTTTGGTGTTTGGGGGAGGGAGCAACAACATGTAAAGATCTGATTGCAAAATGTATTTTTGAAATTTTGAGGATCAAAAAGCTTATAAATAAAAGCTCGATGTCTAAGGGGAAAAAAAAAAAAAGTATAAAAACACAGAATGCTTTCCCTTCTCCCCTAGCTCGATCAAACACAGAAAAGCCATTTCTTTTTCTATTACCTCCGATATTTTCTCTTCTTAGCAGCGACCCAACCCATTTGCACCTCCAATTCTTCTTCTTCTTCTCAACTCTCCTAGCCCCGAAAACCATAAATTGTTTTTCTCATCCCACCAAACACTAAAACCCCCAATTCGATGTGGGAATAAGTTTAATGATTATTATATTATATCGTTTATAAATAGGTTTGCTACTGTCAATAACGATTACTATGGATATGCGGCAACAATCAACAAGAAACTGATGTCCAGGAACTGATGATATATGGAAGTAATTCTCTTTATAAGGTAAGTAAAGTCCTTGTGTTGTTTTGGGAAGCATGTATTGTGCTTGAGATTTGCACATATTTAGGAGCAGGAAATACTTCTTTTACTGGTCGGTTTAGATGAAGATTCATGGCAAAAGCAGAGCTTGTAATGAATGGAATATCAGAAAACATGCCAAGTTAGCATTAAAAATTTAGGAGTTTGGCAGAGAGGCCGATTTTAGTGAAAGAATTATACTGATATGTTAGTTCGAAAACTACAAAGCTTACATGCCTAGAAAGAGTTATTGATTCCATTTTCTTATTTTTTTCTTATTTTATTTTTTTAATAACAAAGCAAACGACACCTCAATTCAATACATGTAGAGTGGGAGACAGTGAATCTTTTTGAGGTGTGTGCAGGCTGGTTGGACAGCTGCATATAGCTTTAGTTACTGGACTTGCTAAAATTTCAGTACTAGGAATTTATGGATGAAAGAAAAAAATTGTTTAACACTAGTTTATTCTCCAAGAAATGGATTGATTCTCAATTTTCCTAGGAAAAAGAAGGAAGGTTATGTCTTATATATGGATGGTGAATGGTTTTGTTCAGCTGTCAAGTAAGCCTAATTTCATTGCAATGGTCATGAATAGGTTTCTAGACACTGGATTAAGATGAATGTGGATATGTGGCACAATAAAGGAGTTGAGTTTTATAGAAGAACACAGCCACCATGTTCATAATAGAAATAGAAATGGTGGCTTTAAGTGGTGAGTGGAAAATTTTAATTCATGCTGTTTGATTATATTGAAATATGTTCCATTTCAAATTTAATTGTTGAAAATCTAGATTCTACGGAATTTCAGAAGATAACAAGGTTTCATTGTAAGAGATTTCGTTGAGAATCTAGGAAATGTCTTGGATTTTTTCTTTTAAAAGTTTTGTAAGAATTTCTTATCACGTGAGAGAAGTTACTTCTCCAAAGAAACAGTTCAATGACAAATTTTGTTTCGATGAGTGAATAGTTTACCTAATAGCACAGTGCTTTCAAATAAAATCTTTTGCAAAAGGGCAATTATTGAATAAAGTAACTTTCAGATGATTTTCAGTGGGGGAGCACTTGTTTTTCATTATTATTATTATTATTATTTTGGTTTCAGGTCAAAATGTGATTTCATGTGCTTTTTAAAGGATTTATTAACATAATATAATGAAAAGGATATAAATTCCAATGGGCAAGAGTTCAAATGCTGAAATAATATTAAACAAATCTTAAGGAGGTGTAAATTAAAATGGACAATAGTTCAAAGGGTCTTTGTACGGACCTAATTCCATTTTAAAGGATTTGATTATCAAACCATATGAAGCTTTCACTTTATACTTTTTCTATGTTGTTCATAAAATCATTTTCATTTTTCACATATAGTTATTGTTTTTTTTTGTTTTTTTTTCTCTAAGGATCAAATACATGTAGTTATTATTAGTAGAAGGTAGTTTAATAAATTTGATATCATTCTTTCTTTAAAGAATGCTTCACTGAATTTCAATAATGTGAACAATGCACTTGCTAAAAATCACTAGAGTGTGCGCATGCACAAACAATACCCTATGAATATTTAAAAAGTCACATGTTGAAAGTGTAAAGATTAAAATTAAAATTTCACTTTTTTATTCTTTTTTGTTTTTTTTTTAAACTCACAAACTTGTTTGTTCTCACTGAGTTAATCCCAACCAAGCCTACAACAGAATTCAAAGAATATCTCATCTCTTTCTCTATTGTTCACCTATTCCACTACAATAAAATCAAAGCTCTGATAAACATCTGAATTCTCTCAACATTAACTAGGGTTTGCAGCTGTTAGTTTTATTCTTTCTACGCTACGCTCTCCCTTCTTCATTGATTTATATATTTTAGTATTGTTTGGTTGCTGAGAAATTTGAGTGAAGAAAAGAAACTGTCTTTTGGAATTTTAAACATTTGTATTTAATTTTCCTGCATTATTGAACGTTCCTTTCTTACTTTCAAATTTTGTAGAAGATGCTCTAACGGTGACCTTTTTTTTTTTTTTCGCATGTTGAGATGTTATCGGTCGGTTTATTAAATTCCATTCATAATTAATTCACATCAATATTTTGATTTTAAAAAATAAGAAACCGCTTTTCTTTGTGTTATCAAGGTGAATTTGTTAAGCTCTTATTTAATTATTTTATTTTCACAGGTGATTCTATAGAAAACTTGAGGGAGGCTTAGGAAAAGTTGTTGAAATTCTCCAATATGTATGGTCAAGGGAGTACTAATCACCAGTCTGGCAGCCAAGGTCCTCAAACACCGATTGCCCCTCCATACTTGCACCGTTCACCTCCTCTTCCCCACGGTTTCCAACAAGGTCCTCTACCTCCGCCACCTCCTCACACTAGTCAGCCAAGTTTTCCTGGATATCAGCATGCTCCTCTGCCCCAGCATCTTGCAGTTCGGCAACATGCACCTGGCAGGATGCCGAACCCGGGTCAGCCTTATTTACACTCTTCTGCAGCAGTTCATGGAAGTGCTCCTTTGTCACATATTTATGCACCTGTGCAGCAAAATTCGCAGCATTCTTCCTATTTAGCATCAAGACTTCCTCCCCCTCCTCCCTTTGATTCACATCGTCCTGAAATGTTACAGGCCTTGCTGCCTCATAGAAGTTTTCCTCCTCCACCACCTTTACAAGGTCAGGGATTTTATAGATCTCCAGTTCATTCATTGCCAAAACAGCCAGCTGGTGTGCAGGGTCATATTCCCCTCCCATCTCCCTCACCCCTTCCTCCAACTTCCAGTTTCCTGACTTCTGCTCTCTCTGGGAGTTCTGCCGAGTCTAATGTTGGAAATCCTCTAATGCATTCCACAGCTCCCCCACCACTGCCTCCGCCACCGAACTCTTCTGTACCCCCCATTCCACCTTCTCCTCCGCCTAACTCTCACATGATGCCATTATCTGCACCTGTCCTGGATGGCTCCATTCCACAATTTCACTCTGATTTTGCTTCCAATTCCAGCAAACCTTCTGGTGATAAATTGGGCTCTACTAGTTCCGTCAATGAAGTTATTCCTCTCAATCAGGGTGGACATAATGTTCCTGTTCGTGATTGCAACTTATATCTGGAAGGTGGAAGGGGCACTGAGACTGGTTGTAAATTGGATGAAGGAAAGATTTTTTCCCAACCCAGTCATTTGATGGTTGCAGTTGGATCCCACTTGTCTGCTGACTCTGATATGGAGATGGAAGGTTAGTACCCTATTGGTATTATCTGAGTCTACTTCATAGGTGTTTGTTTGCTCATGTTTACTAAGTTAATTATGTTCCTTAGATGTCTCTGTCCCTCTCTTTGAAGCATGTAAATCTCATAAAACCTATCATCTATTATTTATGTTAATTATTTTATGTTAAAGAGAAAATGAGATGCCTGACTGTTTCTCATTTACATCGTGATTGTGATGTCTGATCAAGATACAAAATATCTATGGTTCTTGGAAATCTGCTGTTTGTGTCCAAGTTGTTTTTAAAGAAAATGTTTGCTTGGTTTTGCTTTATTGATTCATTCATTTAAATTCAATCTTAATCTTAAATTTAAGGTAATTTCTCTTGTGGATATGGTTTGCTATTTGGTTGTCATATGTCGATGTGACACCAAGCAGACATGCCCCATGGTATTTTGTCAAGAAGTGATATTTTCGTGCTGTGGATGATGTTTCATTGAAATGCTTGTAACTTTGTAGAAGAAAAGAGTTCATGTCGAATGATCTGAATAACTGATCCAATTTGGAGAATTTTTCTTAACTAACTGGTTTTATTTGTACATATTGTTATGGATGAGTAACATTTTATATTTGCATTGCAGTATTATTGATTCTTTCTCCTCATTATTTGTGTCTTACTCATCGGTGAGTGGTTTTCAGATGATATTACAGAGTCTGAAAATGACCAGGCAGCGAGTCACCCTATTGGAGGTGTAACTCATGGTAATCATTTGATAGCTGGAACATCTGATGTGAGAGAGCAGTTGCATGAACTGCAGAGTTCAGCACAATCTGATGCTGCCACAACGGTTTTATCTGTCTCTGACTCCTCTGGGCTGGATTTTGGTGAACAAGGTAAATGCTTTACACATGCATTGGTTTTCTCTACATGTACAATCTCTTCCCATTTTTTCTCCCTTTGAGATAATTATATATTGCAAAGCTCTAATAATACATGCCTGTGCTTATGTTGAGCTATTTGCTGGCTGAAACACTAGAACATTTGTAGTTGTGTGGTTCTCATGTAGGTTGCTCGTGTTAGTTGTACAGGAATAACCTGTAGACCTGTTGTATGTCCATTAAGTTTAGAGTTAATCTTGCTTTCCAATTACAGGGTCAAAACTCATCCCTTGTCATAACCAATTGATATTTGGGAAGTCAGTTTCTGAAGTTCATAGCCCGGTCATTAATTCAGCTGAAGCTGATGAAAAAAGTGCATTAAGGGTCATGGCTGCTGCTGGATGCTTCGATTCTGATAAGGATTCTGGTGAAGTTTTAAAAGGCAGTAGCCCAATCAAACTTGTGCAAGATTATGCTTCTGAGGACTGCTCAGAAAATAATGAGGATCTCTGTTTGAAAGATGAAATTCCTAAAACTGCCTCAAACTTAGTTACAGGTGGTTTTGAAGATTTGCAGCAGCAAGAACTGCCCTATGGTTTGGATCATTCTGGTTCTGATAATGTGTGTGGTCTATCTGCAAAGGTGGATTCTTCATCTGTATTTCCACCAGATATTCTGGACTCAAATCAGCCGTCTCGCTTACCTGATTCTGGAGTAAAAATTCTACTCACCTGAATCCTTATCCAGCTAGTTTTGAGCAGCAGTTCAACTCCAGATTCAGTTCTGATGTTTTAAGGCAAGAAAATGTTGCATCCTACTCTAGTAATTATGATCATTCTTCACGTTTGATCCATGCTTCACTTGATGGACAAGGTATCAGTGTTGGATCAAGAGAATCAGTCCCTTCACCCAATTCTGCCAGGGTTGTTGCACAAATTATTCCTAGCTCAGGAAGTGATCAGTATGATCCTTTTTTCGACAGCATTGAGCCAACTTCAAACTCATTTAAGAGACTTGATCACATTCAGAAGTGGGAACCCATTGACCCTGACGTTATGCTGAGGCTTAGTGCCTCAAACAAATCATTGGATGCTGAAGAAAACAAGAAAGAAGTCAGAAGCGTTGCTGTTTCTACATCTCTTGATAATGAGGAGTTTGGTGAGATTGCTGATGCAGAAGTGGGTGATGTTGAGAATCAGAGCCAGAGTACTCCTGATGTAGTGAATGTGAATATCGGTGATATGGAGATTGATCAGATTAAGTCTCCGAGGAAGAGCAAAAAGAGCAAGGAGTCCAGATCAATGAAGCTCTTCAAGGTTACCCTTGCAGATTTTGTGAAGGAGGTTTTAAAGCCATCATGGCGACAGGGTAACATGAGTAAGGAAGCATTTAAGACTATTGTCAAGAAGACGGTTGATAAGGTTGCAGGAGCGATGAAGAGCCATCAAATACCCAAGTCCAAGGCAAAAATAGATCACTACATTGACACATCACAATGGAAATTAACAAAACTTGTGATGGTAAATCCGTCTTTCTTTTACCTTGAAGCTGATACATGATGGAGTTTTCTCATGACACAAATACGCACACAACCAAGCTCATTTAATTATGCTTTCTATTCAAGTTGGGAAAAACATGTTGATATTTATATTTATGGCATGCGTATAGAAGCAGAAGCCACAGATAATTAAGTATAAAAGCAGAGCCACCAATAATTAGAACAACCTTCTTTAAGATATATCATACTTGATGCATTTTGTCTAGCAATATGAATTTCACATGGTACATATTTAGCGGTAGAGGTACCATAATGTAACAGCTCAGCTTATGAGTCTACTGATTGGAACATTAATTGCTTGCTACCAAAAAAAGTACGACCATAATATTGGATATTGTCATTCTAGAACTTAGAAATCATGGATGGGAAACGGGCATCGACATAGGCCTGATGTAGGCTGACAACTCTCCTGTCAATACTCTTACTCTCCAATCCTGCCTCGTTCTGCTGAAAAGGAAAGTGCGGAATATGAATTCTTAACCACGAGCCATTTCTATCTAGTAATGTTTTCAGTGGAACTTAGGATTTGTTGCAATGTAGTTTTTTTAATTCTCTACAATGAATTGCATAGTTGTATTTCATTTATCAAGGGAAGGTAGGTTTTAAAGTTTGGAGTGTTGCACCAACAACCTTCCACAATAATGTTCCAATTTGAAAATGCCCATACTACTGAAAAATTGTATCAAGTGCAGACACAATATCATTCTTAGTGACTAAGACCATCATGAAGAATATTGCAAAACATAATAAGACCATCATGAACAATAGTGCAAAATATGATTGAAACTTCTCTGTTGTAAATGGACAAGTTTTTGGACACCAAACAGGGAAATTAGTGGGGAGTGGGACTTCAAAAAGATGTTTTATGCATGATTAGATTCTATATGGTCTTTAATTATGTTCATTTTTTCTTTTTGGCAATATCATTTTCTTATTATGTTCTGCAGGGTTATGTTGATAAGTATGCCAAGGGGTAAAAGTTGATATCAGCAATGGTTTCTGGTTGAAGTTTTTCATTTTGCTTGCTTTCTGGGACTATAGTGTCACTGGAGCTGCAGAACAACCTAGAATTGATTGCAGGTTGCAGAGCTGTGAGAATGGGTAGGAAAAAAAAAGAGCTGGCATTAGTAGATTCCTTGTATTTTGCAAAGTTTGTACCTGCCAAAAAGAGAGCATATTAAGGTCCATGACCAGATGAACTCAGTTACAACATATTCCAACTTCAAGGAAATGCTTAGGAGGCTCCAAAGTGTGCATGTAATGAGCTTCTTTAAAAGAAATGTTGCACTTATCTTTTTTGATCTAGAGCTCTTTCGTTAACTCGCTGGTTAACTGCCAGTTTTTATTATGATCGTGGCTGTGGATATGTTTGATTGTTGATTTGCTTGTTGTGTAATCATTGCAAGGAGAGAGGAAGCCAAATTGGGAAGTATAAATTTAGGAAACTTCAGATTTAGTAAATATAGAAAAATAATGCTTTTTTGTTAATACATGGAGATATTCTTAGGGTCCTGACTCTTCTCCTTGATTTGTCAATATTTTGGAATATGATTTCTTAGTCAAAACTAGAAAAGTTTGAATCATCTTTCTTTTTTCCTCCCCAAAGTATAATATCTATGCATGTTTTGGACAACTCCAGTGTTGGATTAAGAAACAGGTGCTGCAGCGTTAACTTGGACTTCTAATGATAAGTTGGATGTACATAATGTTAGCAGGTAACATCTGTATATTGTCTTTACACAGTTCCTAATCACTATAGAATTGCACTAAAGGTAATTAACACATATTTGACTTCAAACATGAATTACCAGATTTTTCCAGCAGTTGAAGCATGATCGTAGGTCAAATAAATCTATAACTATATATATTAACCCTGCATCTGATTGTTGGTTGTACAGATCTTCACTATTTTGTTTTTTTTTTTTCCCTTGTTTGCAGCCCTACCGCAATAGAGAGGTCATCGAGCATTCCTTTTCAAGAGTGTATCATAACAAACATGATTCCCAGTGTTGGAGCAGACTCGTTCTCCAGAGCGTACAGTCAATCTAGTTAGCAGCAAAAATCTTGGGTGATACCATATGCCCTGTTCATGTTGTCTGTTCTGTGAGTAGAATCTTTCAGTGGAATTGGATTGTTATAGTGACTTGTGAGATTGATGACTTTATTGAATTACAAGAATTGAGATTTATTAATTTATTTTGAATGCATGAGATGTCAGTGTGTTGTTTCTCTTTATTCCTTCCTTAATGATGCATGCATGTTGAAGAACGTATTGTGCTGACATAGTGTAGCTTAAATTGCAGCTGTGAAATTTGAACTAGAAAGAAAAACGAAGGATTTAAATAAAAATAAAACAGGACTTTGTTTTTTAATTGAAAACTGGAAGGGAAAAAAAAAGCCATTCTATTAGTTTCAAAATGTTTCGATGACAAAATTCTGGAACATTTTATTCTTGTAAATCAGGTTATATGAAGGGTATTTCAATCTTGAATTGAATTGTGGGTGGTTACACGGTCGATTTTCCATTATGTCTGGTAGTTATCTGATATTGTGCTGGCTTCCTTCTTTTAGTTTCTAATTCATGTGATGACTTTGATCTCTTGTCAATAAATGCTTCATGGTCTACCATTGTTATCTGGTTCTAACATAAACTGTATTTTCGGTTGAGGAATTATCTTGAGAATTGTGAGTGTTTGTGTGGGCTCACCAAGATGAAATCAAGTTACGTTGGGTTAATTACTGTATTTATGCTTTGACAATGAACTGGAATTTAATTACTGATTTGGATTTATCCAATGAAGCCGAGGTTATGAATTTGTAGAATGTTTACTGTAATGAGGTGCATCTGCATTGGAATGCTTTGTTACTTACCAGTAATACAAAATTTTCTGCTTAGCTTTGGCCATGGATTGGATTTGGCATCGTTCAACTGCAGAGGATGTTCTTACATCTTACACGTAGGGAGGAAACAAGATAACCCTTTGGAGCAATGTGGGTGGCGATTGTAGGAAGTTTTCCATTTGGCCTTTCTCTGTAAATATTTCAGTTAAAGGACCTGTTGGGTATGCATATGAGTTAACAGAGAAATGGCTGCCAGAGCATGGGATCTTGCAATAAGGAAGATGAAACCACTGGTACTGCTGCACTGGACATGGAAGTTGTATCTTATTAACGAATTTTTAGCCAAGTGAAGATGCAAGTGAATCAGAAGTTTCTTTAGTTCATATGACTATATGAGTACACTTCTTTCATTCCTTTTCGTTAATATTATGTTGTTAGTAGATGGTTTTTGCTAGCTTTTTTTCTTATTGTATTAATTACTTAGAAAAGATTTGTTATTGGACGATAAGAATTGCATGAAGGATATGGTATCTTGGGGAACCATGGAAGAGGACAAAAGTGGATCTGAAAGCAAAGTCAACAATAGTTTGAAATAATGGTCGTTCGTTAACAATATCGGGTACACATGTTACCATTATTTGCCGCCATAGGATTCAAATGTCGTTTCATATAGGTGGCAGTAATAGCTGCTGCTATTGTTTTATATAGTGTTGTAATTGCCACTTCAAGCTTGATCTGGTCTTTAGACTTGTCATGTTGTTCGACTGAACTCATTGGAATTTAACATATATCGGTTGTTATATTAAAAAAAAATGTGTTTCTTGTATTTTATTATTTTTTATTTGAAATTAAATTATTAGAAGTGTTATTAATTATTTTATAATAAATTTAATTATTGTTATATATCATTAAATTATTAGAGATATTATTAATTTATTATATTTAATTAGTAAATTTATTAAAAATATGTGAATTAGAATAAATTTATTGATAATTGTTAATATATTCATAATATTAGTTATTGCAATTGGTAATCATTTTTACTATTATGGTAAGTTGCAATCAACAATTATGATCGTGATTGTTTTTATAACTCAATTTTTGTTTAAAGATCTATTTGAGATAGATTATTCCTTTATTTGACTAAAAAAATCTGCTTTGTTTTATGATTCTGTTTGTAGCATCCTCTCAAAGAATGGCTTGGCTGAAATTATTGTCCACTGAAAAAGAAAAAGAGGAAATTGTTAACAAAGAAAAAAAAAAGATGGAGGAGGCTTAATTAATTTCTGCTAAGCACTGCTACAGACTGTCCTCAATTACATATATAAAAGTAGGAATTTTTTTGAAATATTTAATTTAATTCAACAAACCTTGAATTTTATTTTTATTAATTATATATAAAGTCATGAATTTGGTGAAACATTGATGCAGAAAATACCTCTGCATTCTAGAACTCCACATAAAATGTAAATAGGATTTTGTATTCAAATATATATATATTTTTCCTTTAGAGAATTAGCTTTTTTTTTTTTTAATTCTTCAATTTATAACTAGTTTGGGATTCTTTTTATGCTTTTCTAGTTTTTTCCATTAATTTTTTTTTCTTTAGAAAATTCGTGTTTCCATTTTTTTATTATTACTCAAATTTCTAAATTCATCTTACATCTAGTTTCTACTAATACAAAAAGTTCATTTTTTTTTTTTTTTTAGGATTTTCGACATATCCACAAATCATACTAGTATATTTCATTATAAATGTCCATTTATTATTATTATTATTATATTTAGTTCAAGAAGTGGTGTACTAAATCTCAATTGTTGTGATGTCTAGATGATTCCAAAATATGCAACTAACTATAATATAAAATAAATAAATAAATGAAAGCTAATCATTGATAAAATACTGCAATGAAAAGTTATTATACTAAAGAAGCCTTAATTGGATATATTTTTCACTAATTTAATTGTGAAAAATATTCCTCAGCCCTTAACCATCTCCTTCTCTAACTTACTCAATTTTTTAATTTAATTTTATTTTGCCAGTTGATGGCGGCTGAAACTGAAGCTGGAACCCCATAGATGGAAACCCCAGATAGAACCGCCTCTTCTTCTCATCAATTACAGTCACCACTGCCTCCATCAGAAACTCGGCTATGGAGACCAGCTGCTCAGCGAAACCTCAGAAACCAGTGGTCAAAGTTGGCCTCTTATAGGTCACAATGGGTCTCTTCTTCTTCTGCTGGCAGATCATCTGCTACTTCTCTTGTTAACACTTATCTCTCCCGAAAGTATTGCCACCTAATCTTTTTCCTTTTCTTTTGGTTCTGTGGTCGTATTTCTTTGTTTTTTAACATAATTGTTGTGTTGTTTTGTGAATATATACTTCTCGACTTATTTTCTGTATTGATTAATAAAGTCAGTCATATAATGGTTGAATTTGTATTCAGATTCATACCTTCAATGGAGCTTGGAGTTTTAAGCGACATGCCTGATGTTCGAAAGAAAGCTAGTTCAAAGTTGCTTAAACAGCAGGTCATTTTTCTCTTCTACTTCTTGCTTTGTATGAATTGGAACCAAATTCTTGTTCAAATATGTTAAGCATGAATTTTCCTTGAGTCTTTGATTATAGCCTGATAATTGTTCATATCTCCTTTTCTTTTGTCTCCCCTCCATAGGAGCTTTATAGGAGCAAACTCTTGTCATCTTACAAGGATTTGGTATGTACACTTTGGATATACTTATTCTTTGTTGTAATTCTGGATGTGTTTTAGCATGCACTTAAAACCAACTCAGGAAATAATAAATTGATGAGAAACTATGTTGCAGTTGTATTGAGTTTTCATATCGGGGCCAACCTTCTGCTTGATTTTTCCGAGGAAGAATCATACAGAGGTGTACAATTAAATGTGGTAATGCTTGTACTGAAAATATTTTAGAGCATTAGAAGGCTTTACCGTACTTACCATTTTAGAGGAGGAATTTTTGATACCTTAACAATGTCTCAACTAAAATAATCAAGCTGCTAAGACGTTGCATTGAGTAGGATAGAGTAAAGCTCTTGATAGACTCTCTTTTCTTCCCTGAGCAAAGCTAAATCCAGAGCAAAGGCCTCTTAAAGCGCCATGGCCTAAAAATTGAACCTAACAGCAGTATGCATTTTCTCTTCAATGACTCGGAGAACGTTTCTTATTATTATTATTATTATTATGTGAAGCAAATATCAGTCATTGCATGGCATCTGACTTAGTTACCATCATAACAAGGATCAATCTACTACACAATTAAAAGAACATTGAGTATCTTCTCTGTCCCAATGCTGAGCTTTTTTTTGCTGACGGTAAAATATCTTAGCGCTTTGTTGGCCATAACTGATCACCATTTTTTATGGTCTTAATGAAAAAAAAAAAAAAATTCTAATAATTAGTTTGGTTGTATTTATTGTGATAAGTTTCTGTAGGTTGCTGTTGTAACTCACATGGTCAACACTAGTAGTTCCATGAGATGTTATGTCAAAGGGACAAACAATAGTCCACTCATACAATTTTCCTATAGATCTGAGGATAAAAATGATGCTGGTGATGGTGGCGAGATCCCAGTCTTCGCATTTTTGTCAATCTCTTCTTTTGGTATGTGAATATCCTCAAATCTTAAAAACTTTGTCCAGTTTTTACCAAGTTTCAATGTGGCCATTCCTGTTCATAGTATCACTTTATCCTTTTTTTTTTTTTTTAATTATTATTATTAGTGAACAATTTGTGTCATCTATTTCTTATCTCTTTTTCGTAGCCATGTCTATTTATTTTTAAACTTTATTAAGTTCTAATTTCAATCATCATTGAGTAGCAGTTTGTAATATAACAACAACAAGCCTCAATCCCGAACTAGTTGATATGGATCCTTCTGGACCATTCAACTTGATCATCAACCAAATCCACTTCAATATCGAGAGATTTTAGATCCTTCAATACTACTCCCATCAATTATCTTAGCTCTCCCTTTTACCCATTTCCCACCATTCAACATGTTGTAAAATTTGTTAGAGTTTCGAGGAGGAAAAAATGAGTAATTAATTGATAGGTCTAATGAGTGGCAAACTGGATGAACGATTACACATTAAATAGGCTCCAAAATTTCAGATTTTAAGCATTGATCGATAATTAATTGATTAGTTGTCTATAATTATTCTTTATCCCAACATTTCTGTCCAGATCTTTTCATTAGCTTGTTTCCGTAAATGTCTGTCCACTTTTAATGTCAAAGCACTGTCTGTTAGTTTATTAAACCTTCTGTTAATGAATTTAATCGTTAAATGATTTCAGAGCTGTTAGCAGACGAGCTTGTTCTAATGTTTATATCTGAATTAAGTTTGAAGGTATGGGTTGGTAGTTTTACTCATGATGAAATTGGTCTTTGGATTCAAGTAGTTCTCTTTGTTTGAGATTCTTATTTGTGATTATCTTGGGTATTATTTGGCTTTGGCAGCGTTTGCTTCTTGTGGAGTTATTTACCATTAGTTGTGAAGCTCCACAAGTTAACGAGTTTTGCTGGTTAAATGAACTTTATCCTGGAGAATTTGATGATTTGAGAATATGCAACTTGTATTCCAAGGATACTAGTGGACCGGTCACTCCAAGACTGATGGAAGGGAAATCTGATATGCCTACCTTAAAATTTAATAGTCAACCAAACCATGAGAATTTGCAGGTATGGGCCGGTTGCTTTTCATAAAATGTTATAATATGTCCACTGAAATGTTTTACAAGCATTATCAAATAATCCACACCTAAGTACATCGAAACTCCCAAGGGCACATCATATACTATTCCACTCCTAACTATTAGCCATGCCACAGATATTGTTCTGTTATATATTATCCACAGGACCAGTGCCCTTAAGTGCCTGGTACATAAGAGGTTGGTTGCAAATGTTGTTGTATGAGTTGGCAGTCTTCATGTTCAAAATAATAAATGAGAATTGCAGGTCTTCCACACTACACTGTAGTATGAATTCACACTGTATATGTATGTAGTAACGTGATCCTATTCTCTATTTTATAGTTTGTGCACTGAATTTTCAATGTATTGTCTCAATGAATTCCTCCGCCTCTTGCTTTAGCTTTGATACTGAAACTGGCTATCCTTTTAATTTGAACATCCTTCACTGTTATGTGTACAGTCGTCTTGTTAATATGATTATCATATATATATATATATATATATGATTCCATTTACAAGATTTATCTCAACTGCTCTAGTACATTGCCTTGCAGGTTTATCTAACTACATGGTTTGAAGAGTTGAACATAGATACCTGTAGGTAAGCTCAGGCTATTTAAATGTCCTTTTGTTTTACAATATAGCATTAACGTCAAACATCACCCATGATATTTATTAAAGCTGTAATTTTATTCATGAAAACTAAAAAATTAATCATTTATTTTGAGAATGAAATTCCTTAGAATAGTCATATGATGTATTAAGACCTCTTTCAATGCGCCTATGTAATTGTTTAATGACATTGATCTGAATTGGTTGTGTACTCTTTTTGTAGGGTCGATGAAGTTTTTGCAATAATTGGGGAGGAAATGCATGTTCGTCTTTCTTAGTCTCATCTCCTTGTAAAAGAACAATGATGAAATTTCAAGTAATGACTACCTGAAGATATGATTACAGAATTTTATTATTATTATTATTATTATTGTTATTGGCAAAAGAAGGAGATCAATGGAGAGTTTAAAAAAAAAAATTACATGGGCATGAAAAGACTTAGCTTCTTTGTAATGATTTTTCCTCCTTTTTTCCTGGTAGTTGTTATTAATGCCGGGAACTTCCTATACAGTTAAGTGGTTAGTGAACTCTTTGATCTGATTTGACTTTTTTATTGTGAAAAATTTTGTACATGCAGCCCATGATCTTATTAATGTTTGATAATGTTAAATAATAGGTTTTGATAATGTTTGTCTGGACACACACACACACATCATTTGAAAATGTACTTTTGTTAAATGTACCGTTACAAACGCAAAAATGACAATCCCACAAAGTCTTACGTGGATTCACCAACTAACTATTTAACCCTTTTCTTTTGCTGATGCTATATATATATATATATATATATATATATATATATAGGATTTTAATTAATTAATTATTTGCATCTATTCCAATACATGTGATGATAAAAAACTAGTCCAAGAATTTGCTCTCTTAATTGTTCTTAGCTCAGCTGCCCACGTAAAATGATGGTAAATCAGACCCAAACCAAACTCGTATACAAATTTTTATGTGGGCAAACAGAACATCTAACTCAACTATTTCAAACTCTTAACAGATTCTGCTTAAACAATCATCAATGAAAAAAAAAATTATTTAGTTTCAATTAGATTTTTCAAATTCTATATAAAAATGCAACAAGAACAAAGAGAAGAGGCATGATTACCCTTTCACCTCTTCAATTTCATCCATATTCTATCGGTCAAATAAGCTAAACCTTCTCTGAACTTTAGTTCTTACTGAACTTTATTTTGGTTTTTGACCTTCCAAAATTTTAATTTTTTTGAAATTTAGTTCATCTGTTAATTTTTCATAAAAAATAACAAAAATTCTCGAAAAAAAAAACCCAAAATTAGATCCTCTATATTCATTACACAACATCAAAATGTCTCTCTCCTCCCTCCCTTATCTCTCTCCATAGTTAGAAAAGTAACTTGGATGCAAAAATAACTTGCCTTTTTTGTTAAAAAATTCCATTTTTTTCTCATTAACCAAACAGCTTAGACATATTTAAAAAATGCAATGATATAAGTAATCATACAAATCCATGATCTCAATCATCCAAAACTCATCTCCAGATGATAAAGATGTTTTTGTTGTTGTTGAAGATGGTGATGATACAACGTAAAATTTCTTTGAGCAATGTAAAATTTCTTTTTAATACTTTCAATTTATATCTTTCGACTTTCAAAAACTATTTATATATTTAAAGTTAATTTCAAAATTTTAATGGTATACAACCAAACAACAAAATTGGTTTAGTAATTGTGTCTCATGTTAGCTGCAATCACATGCTTATATAGTCTATTTCAATAATTTACTAATTAATATTATAAGTTTCAAATCAACTTATGATAGCATTTTACTTTAGATAAAAGAAAAAAAGCATATGAATAATGTTTCTTAGTTGTGTATAATGATTTATGATTAAACATGATAACAAAAGATACCAAAGAGATGATAAAATGTCCACATTTCAGGTTGGACAGGTTAGCAAAAGATGTAATTTTAGTGTTATTTTATTTGCGAATTCTATTGGTAATATTTTGAGTTTTATAATTCCCTCTCATTCTCTCCCCTCAAAATCACACCACCATCTTAAACCCCCTAACACTCATGTATGAAGCCATGGATACAAACCATAACACACCAATAAAATCAAACAAAATTGAAGAGGAACCCATCCCTCTAAAAACCTTGTCGACGACTCTTTTATCTCTATTATTGAATCGAGATGAGGTAGAATGCATCGATAGACATGGAAGATACATCTATAAATGGTCAATTGCTAATTTCACAAGTAACTCAAAATTTAAAATGATTTTTCATTCATTAATGATGGAGAATGCTTACAGATTAAGACTTTTTCTTTGGATATGATATTTTCATAAAAATTCAGTTATTAAGAATCACAAAAACAAATTGTGGATACAAGATAAAACTAAAGAGCCAAACAACCAGACTTGCAAATCTATCGATCCGTTTGATTACTACTTGCAAGCTATTATCTACAAATTATTACTAACAAGTTTGAAGTATATTAATACTTAGGAGAGTACTTTAAGAGCTTCTTATTGTTTCCAAGCATTGTTGAGTTGTTGTTGTGTTGATTAATTCTATTGTTTTTTCTTGTTGCAACTTGTATTTATAGCCTTCTTGTTCTTGCATGATCTTTTGTAGTGTTCTAATTGGAACACAATCTTGCAATGTTCTATGTTCATATGTAACTATTATGATCGTGGTTCTTTTTTTTTTTTTTTGTAACTATTGCTATAATATCTCACTTCGGATATTTTCATGATTCGTTGGTATCAACTTTTTTCTAATTGTTACGAAAAGTTATTCTTTATGTTTATCTCTTTATAATTGTTTTGCTTGATCAAATAGTTTATGTCCAAGCAAATCAACCAACAAATTAACTAATAAGCTTCTTATGTGAACTCAAATTACTAGATTTTTTGGCCTAGTTTGAGTTTTTGGTATAGCACAATTAGAACGCTCTTGTAATATAATTATTTGAGAATTTTGATTTGGTTCTTGATATAAAACAAGATGTGTTTAGTGGTTTGCATAAATTGGGAGTCGATGGATTCGAATTAAGTTTTTGGATTGATAATTTGGACTTGTTTCTTTTGGTTTATCCACTAAGTCAATGTGAGATTGTCTTTATTTTTGCTTCATTCACTTGATTTATAAGTTTAAATTTCTATTTACATGTTAACATTTACTTGATTTGACTAAGAAAATCTCAACGCCAATCCAACCTTTCACTAATTCTAGAAATTTTGAATTTAAAAAAGAAAAAAATTACCGATGATTTTTTTGTTTTTAGATTGTCACTCAAAGTTACGCATTAAAAATTAGATAACATGATCAAGAAAGTATGTCGAGCTTATTTCTCTAAAGCTTCGAAAATTTGGGGATGGCCTGAATTTGTTGTCTTTAGTGATATCTTTTTAGGGAAAGAAGAAAAATGCTGGGTTGGTGCACGGATTGACATGTGTTGAAATATCTCCGACTAAACATATTACGAATTATTCTAATTATTTCTCTCCGTAAAAATATTCCTTTGATTTTTTACTATACAAAAGTGTTTGCTTTCTAAAATAATTGATATAGACCGTATATTTACTTAATTTTTCTGATATTTTTATTATGATAATATATATATATATATATATATATATATATATATATATATATATATATATATATATATATATTTGTGGAGTTGCCACGTTGCTTGTCACATTTTCTATTTTTATTGCGTGAGATGTTTTTGTTATTTCATTGATTTCAAATGGTTGAAGATAAGAATGAATCAATGAACTTGTCGCGGAGTCAGCCTGCGAAACAAATATGGATGGATGGTCGGTTAATTGGAAGGTGAAAAGTTGATTTTTCAACCCTACTCAATATCATGAAGAATATATATTTATATGGCAAAGAATAAGAGGTTGCTTTGCTCTGTCGGCCCTTCTACTTTTCTAATACTTTTGCTGTTCGAATCTCTTTGAAACAAAGTAACATGGGAGCAAATTGGTAGGGAGGGAGGAGTATGCCAGGAGGCATATATGCTTTGATCGTATAGAGCTAGACTTTTAACCTACTTATGGTTAGATAAAATATATAAAATTATTTAAAAATTATTTAGTTTAATAATTTGTTTTATGGTGTGAATCAATAACAATATATAAAATCAAAGGTAAAAAAAAAAATAACTAATTATAATTTTTTAATCAAAAATTTTGTATTTAACTATTTCTTATTTGTATTTTTCATATTTTTTTCTTTACATGAAGGATTTATTCTTGTTAATTCTATGGATTATTAACTAAAAAGAAAATTAAATAATTTTTTTAAAAAAGCTTTAGTATTTTATAAGATTGTGTCGAAAAACAAAAATAACAATTACTAAAAGCTTACATAGAATTGAATAAAAATTTTTTTTATTTCATGTTGAAAAAATATGAATTTAAATTTTGTTAATTGGATGAATAATATTAAAATAAATCATAACTATAAGTAAATATAATTTTAAATTAATCGGATGAGAATTTAAAAGAAATGAAAAATTAATGAAAATAGTAATAAATGACAAACTATGAGCAATAAAATTCTTTATTATAAGATATATACCTTTTTTTTTTTTTTAGAAATACATCTTATGTAATAGTTAATTAATAAATTATGTTATGTGATAGTAATATTTTATATAATATGCATGTGCTTATAGACATAATTATTTTTTGAAAGAAAAATTATTTTTTCGAATTAGATATTTTAAACTTTAGAAATAAATAATAAAAGAAATAAATTGTTGTTTCCTTTAAAATTTTAATACCCAATTAATTGTTGGTTCTTTTAAAATTTTAATACCCAACATGATTCATTTAAAAAAAAAAATCATTCACTTTTCGAAACAAAAATAAAAAAATGACCACACCAAAAGAAAAATTAGATATTTTAAATTTTAGAAATAAATAATAAAGAAAGTAAATTGTTAGTTTTTTAAAAATTTTAACACCCAATTAATTGTTGGTTCCTTTAAAATTTTAACATCTAATATTATTAAGAAACGAAAATTAAAAAAAAAATTTCAATGTTTAGAGAAAAAATAAAAAATAAAAAAGGGGCCCATGACATATTGATTTTGAAGAATCCGCCACAATCAGAGAATGCACGTACAGAGAATGTGATTTAACAACCAGAAATTTAATGGTGGAAAATGGTTTCTTAGGCATTCTTTGTACAGATCGAAGAAAAAAAGAAAGGAGAGAGTCGTTTACTGTTCACATGAACAGTAAACGACAAAAAAAGAAAAAGGAAAGAAGGCTCTGCCGCTGGCCAAAAAAACCAAGGCCCTGTAGCAATAAACAATAATTAATACTATTTATTATTATAATGAAAAATCATTTTACTTTAGTTTATAAGTAATAACGCTGAACCAAGTGTAGCGTAGCTTGGTCCATCATTCATGCAGGTTAGTGATTTTTTGAATTCTGTATGCGTGTTGTCCGATGTTTATTAAAAATCATATAATAGAAAACATTTGTGTCAATTAATATTAAATAATATCTTATGTGGAAAAGTAATTATTGAAATTACGTGTAAGATTAATGATCCCACCAAACTTTAGCACATGTGTGTTATACGTGCAACGTGTGCATGGGGAAAGTTTTGGTGAGATTTACTAATTTTACCCTCGTAATTTCAGTCCATTTTGTTTTCGCATTAGATATATATTATTTAACAATAAAAAAGGACGTAACAAATCGATTAGATAATTTTGACCAAAAAAAAAAAAACATACCAAATTGAAAAATTATTAACACATATATAGGTGAAATTGAATACTTTTGACAAACAAACAAGTCAAATGATGGATTATACTAAATGTTTAGCATATAAAACTATAAATTTTAATTTTTAATGTTACTTAATTCAAAGTATTCAATTACCAGATTCATAGTTAATGGCTACACAATAATTAGCAACACACTTCATTGTAGGGATGATAATGAGCTACATATAAAACGGATACTCGATTTATCCAATTCAATAAATACCTATTAAAAATATCCAATGATTAGTAAAGTAGATAAAGATAAAAAAATACATATCTGTTAAAATAGTTTCAGAGTATGAATATTCACTCTTTATTCTATCAATACCTACTAATTTATTTAGTTTTGTTTTTTATTAACATATAGGGATCTAATTGCATAAATTTAAAAATTAAGGATAAAAATACTTTCTTCAAAAACTTTGAGGACCAAAAAAAACTTATAAATAAATTACTAAAATGCAAAAAAAAAATTAAGAACCAAAAAAACTATTTTTGAAAACTATAGTAGCCAAAACGATTATTTTAGTAAATTGAGTAAAATGGGTATTAAATGAGTATTAAATGGATGACTAAACTAATATAAATTGAATATATGCTAATTAAAGATTTATATAGTGATTTGATTGATTTCTTAATGAGTAATGAGTAGAGTATTCTTTTTTATGATTTCGGTAAAAAATTGAATTAATGGGTGAGGTCAATTGCCATCCTTACTTCATTGTAAGTAACATGTTTAAAAAGTGTAATTTTAAACTCAATTTAAATTAGGGTAAAGCTAACAAGTGTCCAACTCTCACCCGTTAAGAAATATTTAAGAGGGATTAATTATTTTTTATTAACTTAGAAAAGATCATATTGTCCATTATTGCTCATTTAAAATCAATATCCGAAAGTTGAATTGATAATAATAACCATAAAATTCAATTTTTATTTTAAAAACATAATGTTGAATTTTGTAGTATTAAAATTTTACTTTTATATATTTTAATAAATTATGTTTTGTGACATTCGGAGTTCATTTTTTTTGAGAGTATGGCCGGAGTACCATGAAATTTTTATACTAGCGTTAGATGTCTGTCACAATCCTGAGTCAGGTGTAAAATCTAAGCCAAATGTCATTCATCCATGTCATTCTATCATGCAGGAATTCCTCTTTTAGACTACGTATTTTTTATTAGTAATGGACAATTGGTCTTTCGGCAACAACTCTATCATGCAAGAGTTTGTCTGCTTATTTATTTCCTTAAAAATAAGTCTCTAGTTGCTAGTTTATTTTCCATGATTTGTTCTTCCTTTTTCCCGTTATAATTAAGCCTATAAAAAGGCAGTCTTTAAACAAATAAAAGGCACCTATTCTAGCATCTATTCTATTATTCATATTTTTATACTTTTGCAAATAAATCCATCTTGTCTTCGTTTCTCCTCTTCAAAATAGTTCATGGAACGCAAAGGAAGCGAGGTCGAGGTGCAGACCATGAGAGTATCAAGGCACGTAACATTTGGTATTAGAGCCTCGCATGGTTGAAGAACAGACTAACTAGCATTTTCTTCGACTTGAGCACCACATTGAGAGCATGAGTAGACAGGTGATTGAAATGCTTCAAGCATTTCACACCAAGGAGGAATCATCTTCCTCCCGACCTCAGAAGGTTTGTAGGAATTCCAATGGAGAAGGATCAAACGGGGGCTATCGCTCTCAAATAGGTGAAACTAATTTTTTCTGTCAAAAGTATTCAAAAGAGAAGGTTGGATTCCTCTGTGACTGAATCTTCTACCGAGCAAAGACCTAATGATGATGATAAGGATGGTGATGTTGAAATAATTTAAGGGAAGGTTGATCTATGGATGCCCTTGAAGTATCTTGTTGAAGCTGCTAACAAAACCCAAGTCATCCAAGTCGCATTCACAGGGGCTGTCCCTAGCTAAATCAAGCCTACTTGATGGCTCTGATTGTGAACTTCGTATGTATGAAACAAAATACAAAGTAGAATCACCTAGTGGTCGTCATAGTGAAGTCCTCTATGGCCGACCTCCACCAACTTTTCTCTGTTATGTGCTAGGTACTACCAAGGTCTAGGCTGTGGAAGATTCTTTACTTCGACATGATGAGGCTCTTAAAGAGCTTAGGGAACGTTTGTTGGGAGTACATAACATGAAGAAGCAGGCGTATGATCAAAAGAAGGTGATTGGCAAAATTGGACAAGTTGCTTATAAACTGGACTTACCCTTTGGTAGTAAAATCCACCCCATTTTTCATGTCTCTGTTTTAAAGAAAAATGTGGGAAACTCATCTCAAGTTTTGGTCCGACTATCGGATTTCTATAACGACAATGCTACCTCTGCAAAAGCCCCAGCTACCATTCTTAATGATCGTGGTCGTGGAAGGAAGCTAGAATATTTGGTCCGGTGGTAGGGGTACTGAGGCACCAATTTTGCTTCAAGACTTACCCACTTTTTTTGCTCTCTCTCTTCCTTGCGGACAAGGAAAATTTTATAGTGGGGGAGCTGTTACAATCCCGAGCGAAGTGTACAGTCCAAGCCAAGATTCATTTGTCCTGTCATTCTCTCATGCAGGAATTCCTCTTTTAGATTAAGTCTTTTATATTAGTAATGGGCAGCCGGTCTTTCGGCAACAACTCTATCATACATAAGTTTGTTTTCCCATTTATTTTTTTAGAAATAGGTCTCTAGTTATTAGTTTATTTTCCATAATTTGTTCTTCGTTTTTCCCGCTGTAATTAAGCTTATAAAAAGACAGTCCTTAAACAAATAAAAGACATCTATTCTATTTTTCATATTTTTTTTCTTTTGCAAATAAATCAATCTTGTCTCCGTTTCATCTCTTCAAAATGGCTCGTGGAATACAAAGGAAGCGAGGTCGAAGTGCAGGTTGTGAAAGTATCCAGGTACGTAAGAATGTCTTAGTCTAAAACATTTGTGCTTGATTTTTTATGATAAAATATAAATAAAAAAAAGTTGAAAATATCCGATTTCATTTGTGAAGAACAAAGATAGGTAATTTAACTACTAAAGGAATTTAACAACTCCCAAAATTAGTTGGAAAAAAAAAGCTTAACAGAAATAATAAAATTTTTGTTAAATAAATGTTTTAGATATATATATTAGTTGACTAAGTAGGAAGTTTATATATATGTGGCAAGAAATTGGAAGTTTAAATTAATAATGAATTACATGAAAGTGAGTATTGTATATATATATATATATTCAGATTAGAATGTCATGCATGGCATGGCTCAATTTGTATAATAAGAATATGTATTAATTCATATATACCTGACACCAAAGCTTTTGTCTTCTGAGATTTTCTTTTTGGTGATTTCTTATTTTCAGTGACGAGAGTGAAATTAGGAGCTTTATAAACCTGATCATGGCATGCAGAAACCCTAGCTCGGATTAATTGTTAATTGCACTTAATTACTTTAAACTTTGACAATACCCCATATCGAGCTTTCATTGACATGGATCCTCGATATTAGTTAGCCTAATTAATTAAGAAGCTTGGCATGTTAATTTGTAGCAGAAATGCGCATCAGTTATGTGATAAAAACCACTTCTTTTTTCTTCTCTTTCTTTTCTTTTGTGGTTGATCTTCTTGATGTGACTCCATGTGTTTGCTTGTCTTTTAATTCTTTTGCAGATGGACCATTCAATAGTTGGAGAGTTTTGGTGATAAAGTAGGGCTAGAGTTTATCCAAACTCGGCAATTGACAAGGAAGCCCACCTATCCGTATCGGACGTTGGTACTTCAAATGTCAAAATCTCAAGGCTTAATGCATAGAGCATCCAGATAATTAATGCTTTACCAAGAAACCCACAAATTTAGTTTGAAGAATTATTGTGTCTATTTATGTGACAAACGCAACCCAATACGGAAAAATATATATATATATTAAGTAGTTATTATTAGCTTGTGTTTGGATATTTATTATTCTATATGTCCTAAATGATATTTTATTTTTTCATACAATTTACAAATTTTATTAATTATAATGTCAGTATTTTTTAACATTACTTTTCAAAAAAAAATTTTAAGATAATTTCTTTTTTTATTAATTAGAAATATTTTAGGCAAATATAATCTAAAAAATTTTAAGTAAAAAAATATTTTGAGATAAATATAAATAAATAAATAAATAAGAGAAATTTTCTTAAAAACAGAGGGAGTGAAAAATGTACTCTATTTTCTGATATACTTCATATAAATTATAAATAAAAATTTACTTTTGATATCTCTAAAAACAAATCATGATTAAATTATAAATTATTATTTTTAGTTTTGAAAAACGGATTAGTAAACTTTTAATTAATATTTATTATGTTTAATTTAATAAATTCATATCAATTGTTAAATTTCCAAGTGAGTGTTGGCTTGTCAAAAAACCAAAAACAAAATCTAGACGATTGAGTATTGGCTGTGGCGAAAAATACACATTTAATGCCTAATTGAGTCGTCGTGTTTATCCTTATTACTCTAGATATTTCCAAACCATCCCTAAACAGTAAGAAATAGACCATACGAAAGAAAGTAAAAGGAAGTATATAAGCTAACAAGTCTTGATCAACTACAAATCGGAAAAGGAACCGCCTAGTCTGAATTCCCGTTATTTCCCTCTAAGTAGAGAGAGAGAGATTGAAAGAAAAAGATTTTTCCGTTGGAATCTCTCACACCAACCCAACAATAAACAATAAACAATAAACACAAACTCACTATTTCTTCCTTTCTAGAGATACTATAAGAGAGACAGCAAAAGGGGTTCTCTTGAAACCCAAAAAAGATTCAATCTTTATAGAGAAAAACTTAATCTAATTCTGCTTTTTACCAATGAGTAGAGACGATGATGATCCTGGAGAAAAGGGAGATCAGTCAAAGCCGCCAATAGTATCGGGTCCGTATAAATGGTTGACAGACTTTCACAAAGATCTATTGGCAGGTGCATTGCTGGGAGGGGTAGTGCATACAATAGTGGCACCAGTTGAGAGGACAAAGGTATTGTTACAAACCCAAGAGAGCAATTTGGCTATTGTAGGGAGTGGACGCAGGAAATTCAAAGGGATGGTTGATTGTATTGTTCGTACAGTTAAAGAAGAAGGGATTCTTTCGCTTTGGAGAGGCAATGGCAGTAGTGTGATTAGATATTACCCTTCAGTTGCGCTTAATTTCTCTCTCAAAGTGAGTGAAATAGGTTTCTTTTTGGTTTTTGGTTATTGGTTTGTAGGTAAGGTATTTGATGAAATGTGTCCGTGTGAATAGTGGGCCTTTCGTTTTTTAGAAAAGAGTTTTGGGTGTTTTTGGTATTTGTTGATGGTTCTTGATGTGTGTGTGAAATGTTATATATATATTTTGCAGTGATTGATTTCACTTTGTATTTTATAATCGGAATGTTGTCTTTTATGATTTTAAAGGATGGATCGTTATTTTAGTTAGTGTTTTTGTGATGTTATGGTTTTAACAATGTAGAATCTTAAAGTTATTACGAAATAGGAGGGTTAGTTTAACTTGGGCTGATAGAATTTGATGGGAAAGGATTGCTGCTAGTAGAATGAGGAGTAAGAGTTGTTAACTTTGAAGAAGGTTTTAAGCAATTTGCTCGAAGGGTTTTGTTTATTTAGAAAATAAAAGGAGAATGAAATAAAAGCATAAGTTGTCAATTGGGAATTAGAAATCAAACTGCTGCCTAACTAAAGAGTTCCTGGCTGTGCATCGACTTCATGATTCATTATGTCATCTGAAATAGTTGGATAGATTTTGAAGTTTTGGGTGAATTAACTTTGGATGTATAATTGAGAGAACATCCTAGAGTGAGCTTTTTCAAGGAATGAAAGGAGAGATAAGGTGGCGTGAGCTTAATTACAGGTACATTGGTTTGTAAAAGATGGTAGAAATGAAGATCCAAGAACTACTTTGTCGCACAAGAGGAGTGAAAAGAGGTTGGTTAAGGACAGATTAACTTTAGATATTAACGGGGATATTGAATGCATTGAAGGCTGATAAAAACTTTTTACTGGCATCTTTAGGTTGGTTTTCTACCTTTTCTTTTTTCCACAAATTTAAACTTTCAAGGGCTTGGTGATGTTTTTGAATGCATTGAAGGCTGATTAGAACATTTTAATGGTATGATTATGTTAGTTTTTGACCTTTTCTTTTTCCACAAATTGAAACTCTTAAGGGCCTGTTGATGTTCTTGCAACCTCACGGTGACACTAAGTGAGCTTAAGCTTTTTCTTAGGACATTCAGATAGCTAAGCTGCATATCACTTGCTAATGTTTTTGTTTATTTCAAGATGTGATAAATAGGACTGGTCTAGCTTAGCTGGCTGAGTTCTACTCAGAACTTTGAAGTTATGGAAAATGACATTTTCCTTGGAATATTATTAGCGGGCCTTTTTGAGCAAGTCCAAAGTGTCATTATTCATGGCATGAGCAGATTTAAAAATGCAATAGAAGATAACAATAGGGTTTTCTAAACAATTTGGTTGCATAAAAGGAAGTGATCTTTGGCTCTGATGATTGATGTGAAAGTTCCAAGTAAATTAGGATCATCTCTATTTTGTGTTATGCTGACATAACCTCATGGTCTTAATTTCTTCTGCAGGATCTTTATAAAAACATCTTGCATAATGGAAACCATGGTCCTCTTCTATATGGGGCGCCTGCCAACTTCACTGCAGGTGCTGCAGCTGGCTGTACAACACTGATCTTAATCTACCCACTTGATATAGCACACACCCGCCTTGCTGCTGACATCGGAAGAACTGATGTTCGTCAATTTCGAGGTATTTGTCATTTCCTGACTACTGTATACAATAAAGATGGGATTCGAGGAGTTTACAGAGGGCTTCCTGCCTCTCTGCAAGGAATGGTTGTTCACAGGAGCCTATATTTTGGTGGGTTTGATACGATGAAGGAGATTTTATCTGGAGAAACAGCTGAATCTGAATTGCCATTGTGGAAGCGTTGGGTGGTGGCTCAGGCAGTCACAACATCTGCTGGGGTGGTGTCATATCCACTGGATACAGTTCGAAGGCGGATGATGATGCAATCTGGTCTGGAACAACCAATGTATCATAGCACACTCGATTGCTGGAGGAAAATTTATAGGTCTGAGGGGGTGGCTTCTTTCTATCGTGGTGCAGTTTCAAATATGTTTAGGAGTACTGGTGCTGCTGCCATTTTGGTTTTGTATGATGAGGTCAAGAAGTTCGTAAAATGGGGTGGCTTGTAGCAGGGAGTAGTTTTGGTTATTTTTTCATCTCAACAAAAATATTTGGAGTAAAATGAGGTGATACGGTTTATAGAAAGAAAATATTGTAAACTGCAAAGTTCCATACAGCTAAACCATAGAAGGCACTAGATGACCCAACTGACATTCATGTGCCACATTATCTTTTGAGGTTCTGGCAATTCACCCCTTGATTTTTTTGTTAACAAATAAAAAGCTGAATGTGATTGATTACAGGGCTTGTATACCTAGTTGATTCTTGGTGATCACCTCTAGTTGTGAATCTTGTTTGATTGGTTTGGCTTGGGGAAATGAGAAGGGCCATTGAAATGGTGGGAAGAGTTTATATCCACGTCTGTGCTTGTTCTGTGGCAACTAGCAAGAGAGATTAGCTTGCATAGAAATGTTACGAACTTGGCCCCTTCTTCTTTTCGCATCAGGGTTAAAATACAAGCCTTAACTCAGACGTTCCTCCAAGTGGATTAGCCCCACTCAACTCTTCGTGGACTTCGTGGATGGTAGATTATGGATTACTATCATCTTCCATGCTTTTTTTGTTTGTCTGTAATTTCACAGCTAATAGTATCTCGAGCTAATTTTTACACATCGAACACCAAAACTAAGTTTACCTTCTAGATTTGGTAAAAAATAAGCTATCCATATTGGGACGAGAAAATTTAACTTTTTTTAGTCTGATCCTGATGACTAAGAAATAAGTACATCAGACTCTCCCAAGTTTATCATCTGCCTAGCTGAAGAAGGAAAGTAAATTGGTTGCTGAGGGCGGAGTGAGGTATCCATCTAAGAAGGACCACAAAGAAAGCGAACTTACAAAGTCTTGCGACATTCCCGCATCTCATGGGCTTTGGAGTCATTCTCATCTGTTTTGGGCCTTAGGCTCAGAAAAAAAAAAAATCTTGTAATTTTTTTTTAAAAAAAATTGCTAATATGACGAGTAAATTATAAATTAGTCCTTTTTGTTTGGAGAAATTAATTAATTATTTTTTATTTTAAAAATTAATTATTTAGTTTTTTATATTTTAATTTCGTTAATAACTTAGTTATTTCATCAATTTTCCTTCAAATTAATATTTTTTTTTCAAAATTTCCTTTTTTTGATACTTTATTTTTCCCTTCCATCCACTCTCTTTATTCTCTCTCCTCAACCAAAAATAAAAAAATAACAATTTGGAAACAAAAAATACTGATCTAATGAAAAACTAATAAAAAAGATTAAATTATTGATGAAATTAAAATATAAAGGATAAAATGGTTAGTTTTTGAAAAAACAATGGACTAATTAATTTGTGTCTCTAAACGAGAGAAACTAATTTATAATTTACTGCTAATATGACCCCTTATTTTTATTTTGAACAACTGTCATTTAGTACACTTGGGATTTCTGTTTTCATTTTTAAATTATTGGAACAATTTGTGATTTCTCTTTTCTATTTTCATTTTAAAATTATTGAAAAAAAAATAAATTTGCTTATGTATTTTTTTTTTGAGAAAAAAAAAACCAAGGATCACTATTACAATTTTATAAACACTTTATTTTATTTTAAAAACTTAGGACAATTGATTATTAGATTTTAAAAATTTTAAAAACAAACAAGTTTTTGTTTTTACTTTCAAATTTAATTTTTAAAACAAAAAATGATGTGAAACCATTCATAAGTAACCTAATTACGTGTGCCTTATGCATCGGCTAATATCCACATGAATAAATTTGAAGCAAAGTTAGATACATCAATCATGACTACGAGAAATTTTATATTATTAAAAGAATAATTAATAATATTTACTTCATACGAAAAAGATAGAAACATAAATAAGATAAAAAAAATACATCCAAACTCAACTAAAAGTGATAAAAATATTTTTATTTAGATTATTTTTTATGCCTATTTTTATTTTATGAAGTTACTATTGTTAGTTACTTATGAGTATTTAAAAGTTTTTTCCATAACTATAGATAAGCATCAATAAAATTTACCAATAGACCCAGTTGAAATGGCCATACCAAAATGTGAGGTGAAAAGTTGTAGAAACAAGAGTGACAAGGTAAGGTAACTAGTAAGGTCTCCCTCGAAAAAAAGGGGGATTTGGTTCTTCTTCAATTTCTTTGGTCTCTATCAGTGGCTGCAGATTCTCGTGTTTCACAACATTCTTGTTTGGAATAATTACTATTTAACAAATTCAATAAAAAGTCAAATTCCATGATATAAGTTGGAACAATTTCAAAGATGCCCTTAGCAAGCACTGGTTCTTGATCAATCATAAGAATCTAATCTTGGACTTCTATGGACTCAATTTCTCTCTAATTCTGTGTGCTGCCACCTATATGTGTTTCGGAATCCTCAGTACTTGGCTTCATTTTAATTGACCCAACAAAACAATAATAACAATTTCATAATCTTTTTCTTCCATTACATCACCAAGCACCAACAACAATTCCACCCATTTTTCAATAATAATAATAATAATAATAACACAAACAACTAAATTATTAAAACATAGATTATATAATAGTGAAATAACTATGTTGAATAAGAAGATGATGTACTAAAATCTCTCAGCAAGTTTAATCTAATGAATATTTTCTTTTAAATCTATCTTATTATATGGAGTTCAAAGCACATAAAGTTCTTAATGGGAAGAAAAAAAAAAAAAAACTGTCAGTGCCATGCATGTCCATCACATGATAAGTTGTTTTTGGCAGCTGCTTGCTTAAGAGATGGGAGTGTTTTTTCTCTTTAGGAAGTGATGGAAGATTGACTGAGTTGTGGGATTACTTGGCAATTGGTGATTGGTAAGTAAAACTATCCGAGGAGTATCTAGGGAAGGTGCTTGCTGGAGTGGAAATGAACTGTTTAAGAGTAATTATAATAAAGAATGTGATTTAGTGGGCTTAAGCCAAATTTAGAGAAAATCAAAGTAAATAGTATATGGGTGTATAAAATTTGTGGGAGTAAAGTGGGAACCCCATAAAGAAGGCTAAAGCTATTAAGCAACCATGACTTCACCATTCAAAATAAAAAATAAAGGGGAAGATGCTTTTGGAACTTTAGACTGATTCGTTTTAGACAAAGTGCCACCCAAAAACCCTACCATCAAGGAACTTTCAGTGGGGTTAGTACCTGAATCGCGTCATCCTCATTTCCTCACTTAAAAAAGAATAAATTAATTTCTATTACAAATTATGAGACCTTTTTATACATATTAAATTGGTGATATTGCTGTTTAGTATTTTTTTTCTTATATAGAATCACACAAGTAGATTCTTCTGACGTTGGGCTGCAAGCAATAAAGATTCTAGGGTTGGGTCCAGCACTTGATATATCAACACCATTGCATGTTTGCCATGTGTGATTCAATATTAAAGAAAAAGATGGGGGCAAAAAAAAAAAAAAAAAAGTAAAGTGAAGAAAGCACTCTTGTGGTGGGTGGTGGAAATTGTGGTCGTGGTTTTTGACGTTGTTTTTGTCATCATCACCTTGCCGCCTGTAAGCTGTAGCTGTCTTTTCCAAGCCCAAAGGAGATGGGTCCCACTTACCTTATGTTTGGGCTAAGCCTTTTTTTACTATAATTTTATCACCTTCCATAATCCATACCCCATCTTCTTTTCCTAAATGGGAAAAGATCTCTCAAGAACCTTGTATTCCTATTTAGGTTTTGATTAACCTCAACTTGGAATAAGTAACAAATTTATGCAATCGGCCTAAAGGGTATAAACAAGGCAAAGAAAGATATGTGTTGGGTTGGATTTCATTTCCCTGACTTTCTCGATAGGTAAATTATTGTCTTTTAGCTCGAATTTCAAACCTTAATTAATTCTATGTTGAATCTTATTTATGTCTATTTAATCTACATTGGATCGATTCTCATTAAATTTGGTATAATGTAAAGTCGCACTAACATCAAGTTCTAACTTAACTTATAATTGGGAGTATGATATTATTGCAAGAGAAATACTTCATGATGCAAATCGAAAATTAAAATCAACTCCTAACAATTTGTATGGTTTGGACTGAAAATGACAACTCCCTTCTTTCCTTTCCTGGTAAAACTAAATTCTACAATGCATGAAATACATATGTTAAGTGAAAAAGAATCACATTCTTACAATATTTAAGCTTTGGTACAAGTAGATTAATCTTAAGATTACAGAAAGAAATAATTATTAAAACTATTTGGAATCGAATATTAACAACTGGATTATTTCCCTTCATTTTTAGCACCGAGTGAAACCATTGGCTACTCGGTCAAGTAAAATTGCCTGCTTAATTAAAATGAAATATTATAGCTAAAAAAAGTGTTATTATGACACATTTTTGTTTAAAAATAGAAATGAAGAGGAAACATATATATTCAAGACGGTACGATTTATGCATGTTAGTCATAACCAGCCAAGATGAGTGATGTTACGATGTTATTTGAATAACAATTTTAATCTCTGACAAGTACACCTAAACTTAACTAACTAATTAATTAATTAAATTCCTAAGCAGGAAAATTATTAAAGAACATCTAGGCAATTGGGGTTAGGGCGGGCGTGTGGAAAGTGCAGCATGGGAAGTAATATGAGGTTGGGAGGTGGCTAAAGGCGTAGCGATGTCATGCTAGCTGTCTCATGGCATGGTGACAAACTTGGCATCGTCCCTTTCATTGGCTTCGATCAAATTTTAGTTTTTTAGGCGAACCTTCTTTGTTTGTCAGATTCACTAAAATATACCATAACACATACCAGCTTAACAAATTAATTAGATTCATCTAGCTATATCGTATTTTGTCTTTTGTCCAGTTAAGTCACAGCTAAGTTTAGCTCTTCAAAAACAGATCGCTGTGATCAAGTCATCTCAGATACCATGAAAAAAAAAAAAAGTTTAACCTCATTAATTTACTAGTAGATGTTAACAAAATTATATTAATCACCTTGTTTTGTTTTTTTATTGCAAAAGAAGCAATAAATCTACATGGGGATCATCCATACAAACACAGCTTCTTGGCCCAGTTAATTGACCTTCAAGTCATAGAATTTCCCACCATTAACATAAGTAATCTCTTATTAATTAATTATAATGATGGTAAGGCATATATTTGAATCTAGTACTTAAGTTCTACCTGTCTTTTTGGTCATGGTAGCCTAAGCCATGACTAAGCACCACTTTTTCCCGTCATTCTCTTCTAGATTCCAGGTAAGAAAGAAAGGGAAAAAGGAAAAAAGATCAAAAGAAGTCATGGTTTCCACCGTTAGTGCTCTTTCTTTCCACAATCAGGAATCTTGTTTCCATTTGTTGTTTTCATAACAATTTGAAGTTAAAATGAGTTGTACCTACTTGTCATCAAATTAGTGTCTGAAGCGGAGTTTGGTCCATATATAGTTTCAAAAGCAGACCAAAAAAAAATCAGAAGAATTAAACCAGGCTTGCATGATTTTGGAAGCAATAATTGAAAGAATTTTGTCAGAATATCTGACAGAAACCCGCTTCGCTCTTACGTCATTTTCACCAAATGCTCCCAAACCCATCTTTCCTTAACCCCCCAAAGATCAATTTGATACACATTAACCAAACCAAAACCAAGAAAATCTAAGGAAAAAGAAGAAAAGCAAATTGAACGGCTCTGATTTTTCAATAATTGGAAATGGGTCCCATACATAGTCTGCATGATTGATCGTTCTTTAACTACTAGCTAGCTAGCATTAAATAATTGAAAGAAAAAGAAAAGCTCATGAAATCTTGAAAACCTGCAAGTACTCCTTTTCTTCAACAAAATATTACACACTACTTCTTCTCACTAGTACTGACTGCATCGACAACCCAATAATAATTAATCAGACAAAGTACTCAATCTAAATCGAATTTAAGACAAAACCACAATCTTAAACTGAAAGCAGACTTTCTTGATTTCTTCTGGCACTTCTACTACCTAGTATTACATGGTAAAAAGACTTAACCAAACTCAGAAATAAATTATTTCTCGCTAGTAATGATAATTTATGTTCACTTACATTAATAATATATATATATAGATTAAAAACCCAAATCTAAAATCATACTATCATTGCTCTCTTTTTTTTCAATAATAATAATAATATATTATTATTATTATGATGATATGATATGATAATTATTATTATCATACCCAGGATCAGAGAAAGCCAAGACACCAACTTCAACAAGCTTAGGCACAAGATGTCCACTAAGGTGAAGAGCAACAAGAGACTCAAGACCACCAACACAGGTGCCACCAATGAAGACAGAAGGGGCAAGGGATGAGGAGGAGGAGGAGGAGCCGTCGTCAGCAGCGGGAGGGAGTGCGGAGATCTCGTGGTCTTCTAGTTCGATAACAGCAGGGTGAACACCAATACTGTCAAGGAGTTTCTTCATGACATGACACATGCAACAAGAAGATCGAGAGAAAATGATAACTGGGTGCTCTGATATAAGTCGTTGGATTCTAGTCTCGGTGGATTCTGCACCGTCGATGGATAGAGAAGAGGAGCAAGAACGTTGTAGCCCTTGCATCGCCAGGGGGAGAATTGAAGTGTTTGTGATTTAGAGAGAAAGAGAGAGGGAGGGAGGGTGTGTGTGTGTGTGTTGATGTCAACGGAGGGGAGCTAGCAAGTGGGAGTTTAAGAGGGAGGAGTTTTTATATTTATAAATGAAAGAGAAGGGAAGTGGAGAGGAAGGGAAGGGGTGGAGAATAGGAGGGGGTGAGAGGAGGTGGGGTTGCTTACATCACAAAGTACTGTGTCTGCAATATTACAGAGTTTTTTCCCCCTTTTTTGGGATCAATGCTTGTGGGAGTTTTTTTTAACTTTTCAAGCCCACGCGCCAATAGGGCTTGATATGTAAAATTTGCTTCTTTACGAGTTAAATTACGGGGGAGAGTGATTCAAATGTTACGGCAGTAACTATTTGGGGATAGAAAAAGAAACATAGAATAACTTCTTCTTTTTCTAGAAGAATTTGTTTACCCCCGGTGAGAAGGATGCCACTAAACTTCTAAATTTAAAAAAATATATTGTTAAATTTATCAATTAAACTATTATTTTTTTATAAAATTATTAATACATTATTTATTAATTATTAATAATTATTATATAACACGTATTAGTGAAGGTTATATTGATATTTTTTAAAAAATAATAATTTAATTGATAAATTTAATAATATTATTTGAAAAAAATATATATTTGAAAGGGAGAGGAAGAATGAGTAGCATGACCGATTGTCTTACTTGAAGAGCTTGAACCCATAAGAGTAAGAGTCTGTTCGTCAAATAAGAGTATTTTAAAAAAAACTTTTGGTATTTTTTCTTCTAAAGTCATTGAAATTTGTACTTCGAAAATTTACAAAATTACATCGAAAGTGTCAAAATTAGAAGTTACTAAGTAAAATTTTTGAATTTTTAATACATTATAATATAAAAGTATTTAACAACATATACTATATGATTGGTGATAAATAAAAAAACAACAGCTTTTTTTTTAAAAAAATCCTAAATTATATGATTGATAATAGATAAAAGTTTTAGTTTTTTTTTAACCAGATAGAGTAATTGTCAATATCTTTACTTTGAACAATCACGTACACCTGTTAATTCATCATTCTCAATGGATATCAATTTTAAAAATGATAAAATAAAATACAAAATAGCAATTTTAATTAGTTCCAAGTAAGTACCACAAGCTTGTATGGTAATAAATTTATAACAACCATCATGAACCATATAAAAGGATTCACTAGCCAAAAGTACGTAAATAGGACACTCATTTCTAAGATATAAGACTTGACATTCCCAGAAATTCACATATATGGTCTTTATAAATATTGTTCTTCTCTAATATGGGATTCTCTCACATATATATAATGTGAATTTTGATAATTACAGATGTAGATGCAATTAAAGAAGTTATTAAATAGGTTAGAAGTTGTATTTTTTCTCTTATATAAACATAAGATTCGCTATAAAAATTATTTATATTTTCTTTTATATATAGATAATAGTACAATTTTTTATATATTGAATAATTTCTCGTATAATTATAGGTTTAGTAAAAGATTTATTGATAGAATTTGGATGGAACATGACAGTATTGCATGGAATAACAAGAAACAAAACAGGTTAATGGTGTATTAATTTGGTGCTTTAATCTGAGTATTGTATTCATTTCAATTAATACGAAAGAAGAGTAAGAGGTTACAATAATATTTATATATATAAGGACCAAATTTGAATAAAATCCATAAAAATAAGCAGTATGATAGGCATCATTGTGACCTGCCTCGTAAAAAGGAGATTTGACTGAAGCTTGGCTATGATATGCAATAAAAAATTAGTTTCGTCCAAGACTATAATATGAATGAAGCTATGCATATATATTATATCCTACGTATAAGGACTTGATTGTATTTCAGTATTTTTTTTTAACCATTTAAAAAATTCTTTTTTTCCAGCTAAGAATTAAGTTAGGATTATCAAAATCAACTCGACTCATGTGGCTATTTTTTATGGAGTGAAATTAGAATTTTACAAGAGAACATTTAAAGAGAAGGGATCATAGGAAGAAAAAAATTAATTTCTTTCTTCACTAAGAGTCAAGGATAGGGCAGAAAGAGAAATATGTACGTACATGCTCTGAAATTAGGCTTTAAATTTAGGAGTAAAATAGAAAAGAAAGTTGATCGTAGCCAATATATGCTTTTGAACAATTTTTTTAAAGAGGGAATGCAGGAAAGCAACTATAAATCAATATGTGTTTAATTTTGTCGGAGGAAAGACATATTATAAAAAAAAAAATTGAAAGAAGTAAAGGTGAGACTATTCACTTACCGTAGCTTCTTACTAATGTTCCTATTCATATATTTCTTTGTTGCTTCTTGGTCTCTTTTTCTTTGAGAAATAAATTAATTAGTCCCTTTGGTTTGAAAACTAATGTTTTTTTTCCTTTTTATCATTTTACTATTTTTATTTTTTTGTTTAAGAAATAGGAAAAAAAAACAAAAAATAATTCTTTGAGAAATAAATTAATTGGTCCCTTTGGTTTGAAGACTTATTTTTTTTTTTGTCCTTTTTATCATTTTACTATTTTTATTTTGGTTTTTAGAAATAGAAAAAAACAAAAAAATAATTAAAATATGAAAAAAGACATTTTATTTTTTTGAAGAAAATTATGTCATCCAATCAAAAGTATCTTCGTATTATATAAAGAGACTATGAAACCCTATGTTGGGTTATTTTAGTGATCCTTATTCATTCTTCGGTAATCGTATAAATTAATATGGGTGAAAAAAGAGAAGAGAAAAATAAAATAAATGCAGCAAATGGAGGTAGAGATGGTTTTTGAGATACCAAATGGAAAGAGAGAGGTACAAATAAAGTTCAATGATTCATAAAAGTGTTAACTAGAGATCTCATTTCTTTTTACTTTTTTAGGACCACCATGTAGAATTAAGAAAATGATAAATTGGAAGATTAAAAAAAATGATCTTAGAAAAAAATAAGTAAAATATGAAAAAAGACATTTTATAAAATAAAAAAATAAATTATTCGTGATCAATGCTGATTAAAAATTAAATAATTTATTTTTGAAACCAAAAGAATTAATTTATTTATTTCTCAAAATGAGATGAACTAATTTATAATTTAATTTACAATTTAAGAATCTCTTTCATCATAAATTAAGAATTTATGAAAACCAATTTTGTGATAGGTTTTATTTCAATTTATGGATTTTAATATATTCCATACAGACTTAGATGTTTTTTTTTAAGAAAAAATTTGTTTATACTATATATTCTGAATTTATTGAATATGATCATAATATATATTGAGTATTAATTATGTATTTGCGGACATAACATCAATTATTTATTTATTCCTTTTCATGTTCTAAAATCAATATTTTTTAAATAAAATAATTGAAATAATGTTGTAGAAGAACCTTTCAATTATTCAAATATAATTTTTTATACTAATATTATTGATTATTTTGTTAATAAATATATATAAATCAAATGATTTTGCTCAGCAAATAGATTTGATTTATATTAATTACGAGAAATAAGATTTTTATTCGTACTATATCATATGAATTGTGTTCTTTATGTACATAACGGTTATCCGATCACAGACGTGGCGAGATATCTAACTCGTATACATCTACATTTCAAAGACATGATGAAATGAGATGCGTTTAACTCATTTATGGAGGACATTGGAAATAATATATAAGTGTGTGTATGTGTGTTGGGGGGCACGTATTAAGCTCCTTCATAAGCACACATGGGATATAAAAAAGAAGAATACTCTCTCACTATCTAACATTCATTTATTCATGAAGATACTTTTAATGAGCTTAAAATCATATCAATGAGTCATCCACCTTGTAATTAAAGTATTTCTTTTGTACTAAAAATATTGTTTTTCTTTTTATTTCAAAATGCTTGTTTGTTCAAAATTTTAAATATACATTTTTCTAAAATACCTATTATTGATAAACAAAACCAATTCTTTATTCTATTTTGTATTCTTCATTAACAAAAAATTAATATTTTTTATACTTTCTCTACATACATTATATTGAGAGATTTGAGAACTGATCAAACAATTAGTTGACAAATCGATCAATATACGAAGAGCTCATACTACAATTTGTAAAAACAGCGATTGACTAATCAAGTAGAATAGATGCAAGTAATGAAAGGTGTAAAAAGAGAAGCGAGATAGCACTAACAAAACACAAGTCAAGTGGCAAGAAGGTGGATAGTAAAGTCCAAACATATAGAGTTTTAGATGTTATTTAGTGTGTGAGTTCGAGAGTTTAGAGAGAGAGAGAGAGAGTTTAAAGATTTTACTAGAGATAAAAAATTTCAATCTTCTCACAATGATGTGATATTGTTATTTATAGAGAAAAAAATGGCCATTGATCACTAGGATCGTGTCACATTATTTAAGTTTGGACGGTTAAATTTGAATTGAAGAAATTAAATTTTTTGCAACTCACTAGCAAAAGCTAAAGTGGATATTTTGTTAGTGAATCATGCTCCAAGCCTACCAAACCAATCTCGTTAATACATTCTAAGTGACAAGAAATGAACACCGGTCCTATCAAAATATATGTGTCCATCATTACAACCAAAGACATTGTGTTGAGCGAAATACGTTCTCAATTCAATCCATTTATGATTGTAGTTTGGAACTATGTTAAAACCAATGAATAAAATAAGATAAATTAGAACATAATAAAATTTAGTTAAGTTAACAAATTTCAAGGAAAATCCAACATATACATACATACAAATACCTTTAACATATAAAATTTTAAACGAAATTTTTTTGTTACATGAAAAATATTCATTCTTTTAGAAAATCCATGGCAGTTTGCAAAATGTCAAGACCACATCCAAGACAAATTAAAAGTTGTCTCAAAGATATCTTCTAAAAATTTTAGACCTTGACTTTAGCAAGGATAGAAATTTTAATTTGTTGTCTTACTTTTTTTTTTTTTGCCTAAAATCTT